TGAAGGTGACTGAAATGATGTTTCACAATAACTTGGAAAAATCAAGGTTTGTTCTGTGGGGACACTACATCACGTTCTCCCAGGACAATAATTCCAAGGCAGTACGTGGCAACCACACTTTCCCAGAATGGTATGATGGAGTGCCTAGAGAGTAAGGAATCTGCAAACCATGTACATTTTTAATGAAATCCACAGTCCTCAGCCATTCACATTGCTGAGGATATGGACTGAGAAATTTCATGATGACAGCAGCTGGCAAGTCACTTGGAGTGCTGTCCATGAGTGATCGGTGCTGATGCAATACAGCAACTGAGCTAAGAGCTAAGAGCTTCGCTTTCTTCTGTGCCTCGCCAAACTCAGAACTGCCCAGAAATAAAAAAGCAGCTGTTTCATTTGGTACCAAAATAAGCATACATGGCTAACCAGTAGGAGGAGCAAACTTGGGATAAACAAATCCTTCCCCAGTTTATCCCCTCCACTAACCTTTGCTCTCTAACTTTAGATTCTAAGTTCTTTGGCGCAGAGATCTGTCTTCTCATACTCTCTACAGAGTCACGCACCTTGATGGTGCTTTGTACATAAAATAAATATTCTTCCCTCTTGTCCACAGAAATCCTGGCCAAAAGACCTAAAGCATTCACACAAATATGAGGGACTAGAGTGCATCCTGTGCTTGCTGGTCTTGACGACTTAAAAAGCATTTCAAAATTTCCTAGCACTAATTAGGCACTAAACTTTCAGAAATTATTGGTGTGAACAAGGATGATGAGAGAATAGCAATCTCTAAAAGTTTAACAGCACAGTTGCTTTGCTGTCTGCTTATACAACTGAACAGTCCATAATGCATTAATGCAATGGGATGACAACTTCAGCTAATCTTTTAGCTTCTAGATAAATCAATACACAAACCTTGACAAGACAGAAGTAGTGCTGGCTGACAAGTGAAGATCTTGAAGGACATTATGCTTTCTACTCTTGTTGGGGTTTAGCTGACCCCTTGCTGACTCAGTTAAGAGACTAGGGGGTCATACTGCGTCCAGCACTGCTGGTGGAGAAGCAAGTTAATACAGTTGCAAAAACACACCTCTTCCAACTCTGTTTAGCATGGCCTTGACTAGGCCAGTCTGGTCGACTGGGTTCCCACCACTGTAACACCAAGACTAGACTACTGTAATACATTCTACATAGGTCTCCCCTCTCAACTCAGAGACTCTGGCTGGTGAAGAATGCTGCAGCTCAGAAGCTAGGAGGAGCATGCCTATTACTCCCATTCTGCAGTCACTCCATTGACTGCCCATCAGTTACTGGGGTCAATTCCAGTTATTGGCTATCACATACAAAGCTCTTCATGGCCTTGGTTTCCCATATCTGCAGGACCATTTCTCTCTGTGTGCTGTACAACGACAGCTCCACTCATCCAAGCAGGGCCTTCTGCAGATGCTGTAAGAAGGCAGACCCTCTCCTCTCACTGAGGGGTCAATTGCAGCCTTCATTTAATAGCCACCAAGATCTTGCATGCCAGGCAGTTTGATTCTGGAAGGTATAATGTCAAGGTGTCTGACCCTGCTGCAACCTTCTCCCCACCCTAAGGTATGCAAAAGTGCACAATAGGCTTCCAAAGCCAGGCTTCTCACCCCAGAACTAATCCCGTTCTTAACTAATCCCGTCATAACCCCATCTTCCGACATTTACCTTTCAGTAGCTACACCTAACACTGATAGCTTTCCCATCCAATACATTGAAGGGGCCATCAAGCAACACTTTGCATTTTGAATAGTTTAACATTAGCCACCATAGTTTGCCCCAAAGCAATCATAGCTTTGCCCAAATCATTGCTCACCTCAGGAAAACCTTTTCAGACCTCTCACACATCTTTGTCCATCTCATGGGGGATACATTAAGATCCACCTCAGGGAGAATTCCTGCTATAACTGGGCTCCCCAGAGCCCCAGTTGTGTGTGTGTGTGTCCTCCTGGATCCAAGCCTCACACCCGAGACACTGGATGTTTTGTCTTGCTCTTCCAAGGACTTTGTGCTTCTAGATAGGTAAATATCACCCATCCTAATCTCTATCCTTCCTACTCTTTTTAAAAACTTTGCCAGCCTTGTATGTTTGTTCCCCCATGTGCTCTTGTGTGTGTTTTTGCTCTTACATTCTCTTTAAATAAAATCTTTTCTATTTAATCTGGACTGGTTTATTTTGAGAGTTCTCAGAGGGAAAAATCCATGTAAACACTGGTAGAGATCTCACTTGTTACCCCCTCTTGCAAGCTCTGTCTCCAATTACGTTTATTCCCATGAATAGATGAATAGAGACACCCCCCCAATTTGGGTAACAATGCTACCCAGGAAATGGGTAAAATCAACAGCTGCAAATACACATGCATTTTCTGTTGTGGTCCTTATCTTTTGGAATGGCCTGCCTGATGAGGTTAAGAAGGTTCCTGGCCTCCTAGCTTTCCACAAACTGTACAAAACTGAATTATAGCAGAGGGCTTTTTTACACAAGTAATGGAGTTTACTGTAATAAAGTGGTTCAGAAAGATGCTTTCATAAAGGGATAGGGACTATGGGCTATACTACTGTGTACTGTCTGTTGCTGGAAGTATGCTCCTCCTGTGTAATTTATGCATCATATAATGTGTCATGTTTAAATGCTTATACTTTGTTTCAGATTTCTGCAATTTAAACCCTACTGCACTATTTGTTGGAAGTCCCTTCCTGTTGATCTTATTGACTTACACTGTATAATCCACCTCCACTCTCAGTGAGGAAGGTGGATTATAAATGACACACACACACACACACACACTACAGAATTAAATAAACATAAACTTTATCAACCACACAAACTATATCCTTCCACTTTTGTTGACTGTGGCTGCAAACTGGGGGACTGATCAGGAAAAGAAAGCTCTTGAAGGCCCCGGTCACACGGGCTGGAAAATGCAGGGGGGAAGTGTGGCTGTTTGCCCCGGGGCAAACTAACGCACGACTGAGAGATCAGACCTCCGGTTGAGGTCCCGTCGAGGTCCCGTGGCCGGGGGGAGGTGCCGATCACACCACAGGCAAAGAAGCGGGGCGGCACGGCAAACAGGGTTGTTGTTTGGGGTTTTTTTACTTTTGTAAACTGAAGTGTCCGCATGCTCCGTTGGGTGCTTGTGCGCATCCGTGGAGGCTTGGGGGGGAAAATGACCTGTTTGCGAGGGGACATGGGCGGGCGCCGGATGCCACCAGAAACACGATCAGATGCCCGCCCTTGCCCCGCGGTTTCCGGAAACTAGTACCTCCAAGGTACTAGTTTTTTTGCCGCGCATCTTCGGAGGGAAGCCTCGGTTGAGCCACGGGAGCTCTACGCTTCCCAGATGTGGCGGTGAGATCGCACCCGGAAAATCCGCCTATCTTCCATCTGTCTAGCGTGGCTACTGTTTCGTGTGACCACAGCCGAAGTTGAACAACATGTAGTTAGGGATATAAAAATTATGCCACCGACAGATACTGCTAAAGGTAAGGGATCACTCTGAAGATGGCAGTGCAGTCATTATGATTCAATGATGCCTTGAGAGTGAAAACAAGCAGAAATTCAGCACAGAACACTGTACCTATAAAGTTTTATCACATTTCTATCTTGCCTTTCCAAGAAACTTAAGGTGCTATATGTAGAACAGCCCCCTCCCATTTTTTTCTTCACAAAAGCTCTGAGTTTGAGAGAGCACTTCAAGGCTACCCAAAGAACTTTATGATTCAGGGAAGTTTTAAACTTAGTTCTCCCTGGTCCTGCTCCAACACTCTAACCACTTCTGCAGGTTTTATCTTCAGGGGGGACAGAATCAGAAGGGGAAGAAGACTGAGGGGCTACGTCCGTAGGAAATATTTAATATTTAAATCCCAAGAGGGCTCATAACATGTAACGATATGTAATATAATTAGAACAAAATATCAATAAAACCTCAGTAACATCATCAAAGTTCAATGCTATAAAATAGCCCCATATCTTGCTGAATCAAGTGGTCATGGCATTTCCCCCACAAAGTGCCAGTGTGGGGTAGTGGTTAGAGTATTGGACTAGTATCTGGGAGACCCAGGTTCAAACCCCAACTCTGTCACGGAAAGTTGCTGGATGACCATGGGCAAAACACACACCCTCACCCTAACTTACCTCGAAGGTTTGTTGTGAGCATAAAATGGAGGGGAGGAGAATGATGTAAGCTGCTTTGGGTCCCCACTGGAGAGAAAGGCAGGCTATACAGTGTAAGGGCTGCCCCAGAAAGTGACTTGCTCATTCTCATTATAGTTATTATTTCTGTTAATGAGGGGGTCTCTTGGGAGGGGCTTTTCTAACCAATGGCAGTAAATTTTGGGAGGGGTAGTCACATGGGCATGTTCTTGAAAACAGGCAAGTATCAGGCTACAGAGTACTTTCAAGGGTGAATTCCGTACTATGTATTGGACCCAGAAACTTAATGGCTGCCAGGGTAAGTGCTGCAAGATTGGTCGAACGTGCTACTTCTGGATTCCTCATTATATCAAGTAGGACAGCTACAGTATATTTTGCAAGGAGTCACCTGGGTGTGACAAAAATTACAAGATCAAGGCCAGAGAGACTGAAGATGTGAGAAGTTAACAGTAGATTGTTTGTACCAAGAAGGGGAAAAACTGTAAACAGGATTTTCTTTTATTTAGTGATTTATAGTCCACTTTTTCCCACTGGGGACTCCCAGCAGCTTACTGAAAGCCTAGAAAACTATAATTTAGGTTAACAAAGAAAAATAAAAATATACAATAGAACTCCTAATCCTGAACTAGTTCTCTGTAAGGACTTTGTAGCCAGTCCCTTAAGTGTGAGGAGGTAAGAATTATAGCCTGGCATTATCAAAATGTCTAAACACTAAGCAGATCTATACTATTACAAATGTTGATACAGGGTGGATATTATGTAGCCTTCTTGTACTTACAAAACCATTATCTAAAACCTTTAAATGCTACCATAAAATACTCACCTTTCTTGCAAAATAAGTTTATTTTCCTTCTTCCAGAACTCTTTAAAATCAGAACTGAATTCATGCCAAATACTGAAGAAAGCATTTAAGGACACCTCCTTTTCACTCATTTTTGGTTTCATACAGAAGTATGCTGTAGTCTCCAAAAAGCTGTCAAAGAAAACAAAATGGCAGATATTTTATTAGCAACAACAGGGTGAATTTTCTCTCTGTCCAAATACCTATTTCATACATGACTGATGCAGCAGGCCGATAGCAATCAGAAACGCAGGTCTGGCTCTTTCATGTTCATATTGTGAGTTAGAATTACTTTGCAAACTAGAGGCCTGTTGTTTATCACAGAAATACAGTTTTGAGACAAAAGCTTTTTACATTTTTTCAGCTGAAAGAGAATTTTTCAAATGCAAGAAAAATCAGACTCTTGCAACAATTCACCCAGGGGGGGGACCCCACCCCGACGTGAACGTCACCTGGAAGTGACGCGACCATGCCGGGCATTCTGGGGGTGGGGCCACGGTCATCCGAGGGAAAACTCTATGGTTTTCCCTCGGATGGTCATGGCCCCGCCCCCAGCATGCCCAGCGTCGTCATGTCACTTCCGGGTGACGTGCGTGTGGCGTGCGCTCCAGCCACGGACTGGGAGTCCCCCGGTAAGAAGAAATTTCCACTTGGCAACCCTAAATGCCATAGAGGCTACCTGTTAAAAGCTGCCATTTCCTCCAGAGGAGCTGATCTCTGCAGCCTGGAGATCACTCTGAGAGATCTCCAGGCTCCACCTGGAAGCTGGCAACCCTAGTTCATGTGCTATATCTCTACTATACCTGAATCGTTTTATAAATCTGCACCACACTGGCTACCGTGATTCTTGACAATATTTGAACAAGGTGTTTCATCTCCATCAGGAAGAAAAGGTGAAAAGTCACATACTGATTGAACTAAAACGCTTCCATGCATGACACTTTGGAATAAAAACACAGTAAGGCAGCTATCATTAAAAAACACACAGTTTTATGTGAAAGCAGACCACATTTATGTTTGCTCTTTCTTTGTTGCTATCTCCATCAGGAAGAAAAGGTGAAAAGTCACATACTGATTGAACTAAAACGCTTCCATGCATGACACTTTGGAATAAAAACACAGTAAGGCAGCTATCATTAAAAAAAACCCACCGTTTTATGAAAGCGCAGTCCATTTATTTGTTTGCTCTTTCTTTGTTGCTAGATGAACACCACACCCAGACATGCAGTCCAGAACATAACCAAACTGATGAACCTTTCCACTTCTTACACACCTGAGAAATCCTTGGATTTAGAAGCATACAAGGGGTGGACCCGCGATAC